CTTACTTTTGAAATTTTTTTTACTTTTGAACTCGTCAAATTTCTGCCAAGTACACCTTTCCTGCAAGTTATATGACAGTCAAATAAAATCTTAGATATATATAACAAAAAATCGTTATAAAATAACATAACTATAATAAAAATACAATTTACCTTGAATTTATCAAACCATATATCTTTCTCAGATTCTGGGAGCTCTCCGAAAGACTTAATGAGTTTTGTATATGTCACACCCTAATTTTTGACCTTAAGATTCCACTTCCTTGTTTTTATGTGTTCTTTTTCATATATGTGTATTTTATTATGACTAACAAGTATGTGCAGGTGTATTAAAAATTCAAGTGGAGATGACGCTCATAATCTAATCCTTCCGGATAAGGTCATTTGGTCCTTACTCAAGTTGATCTTAAGGCTAAGAGCTTCTTCTCAAAATACCTAATTCGCACATTGGAAGACAAAACGTATAGAAATACTTAGCAAGTCTGGTCAACATTTGTGGAATATCACCAACTCAAGACTTCCTAATTGGTTGCGACAACATCTTTGTTTTCCAACACAACAGCTTCGCGGGTTATCGGAGATAAAAAATCATTTGTGTAATTTAGACTACCGGATGATTAACGGCTCGTAATAGTATATAAAGTGGTGGACAATATCATATAACTGTAAGCTTTGTGATAATGATCACAATTTGATCATGTAGCAGTCTTCCAGAATTTTAAGCTACCACTACAACTAAAAGAGGTTTTATTTCTTTGACTTGGATACAAAATCGTTAATCCCACTTGGAGGTTAAGTCCATGAGGAGGAACCTTTCAGGAATATGCTCTGTGAAGAACGAGACACCAATTCACTTTGGATGGAGACTTGATCCAATTTCAAATTTTTAAGAATCTACATATACAAGTCTGCATTACATAAGATAACAGGCTACATTACACCAAGCCGAGTTAAAGGGAAGGATATTTATATCGTAACCTACATTGAGGATACATTATATATGTTTTCAAGTGATGGAAAATGTTGGACTCAGCCAATTCATCATGTACAGCTATTAAAAGCAGGAATAAGCCCTTTTAAGTATGTATATCACAAGTTACTAAACACTTCAAACTGTTACAAAAGATGGATTATAAAAATGTCCTAAATGGTAAAAGCTACAAGTTACAACAGTATATCAGTATTAAATCCCGCATTGCTTTGCTCAAAGAGGTGCTCTGAACTCCAACCGTACTCGCCCCGAGATTCTGTCACACTGTCAAAACCCAGCAGCAACGGTGTTCGCACGAGGAGCATCACAGTACCGCCATGGATCTTGTTAAAATCTCCTTATGCTGCGCCATTGAGGAACCGTAGGAGATGACCGTCTCACACCACAACTCACTTTGATGCCTCCAGTTCAAACTGACCAGGTTTCTGCTTCAGGATCTGGGCCTACTGCTCCTGCTACCGACAATCAGGGATTATCGTAAAGGAAATTTGAAACCTGCAAAAGGGAAGCAAGATTAATGTATCAACGAGTAACAAGAGTTTTCCTGAATCACTCAATAAAGATGCTATTGTTTAAACTAATGCTCAACTTAATTTGATTCTATGTACATCTTCACAGTGGCGTATCTAAAGCCACCGCGAGTTAACCAAATTCATAACAGTACATGTTTCATAGTGATCCGACCATAACTGGTTTGCGTCAAGAATGGGCCCGGCTATGGCATTTCGAGCTACATGAAAGTACAATTTCAACGTACATTTTCTTCTAACCTGGTCAAGCCACTAAGTAACTCACTGTTTCGAACGTCAAATGACCTTGAGGTTGCAGATGCCCTTGCACCAAAGTGTTTGTGCTCAAATTAAATATGAACATTCATTGATGATACACTATCAGTTTTCAAAGGACATAATATGGTGTCATAGAAGCACAACTAAGTTGAAATCCTTTTACCTTTACCTAGATGATGTTGTTGCACCAAGGCTTACAACATGACAGCATACCTTGTACATTACCAGGAAGTGTGCTCACAGTAGGTGTACTCACCGGGAAAGTCATGAAACGTCACCACAACGCGTAATGTTGAACGTTCAATATAACATCGAGAGTAATTTTGAATCCCACTACTGCAACTTCATCATAACGGGAGTTTCGTCATGCTGCCGCAAGAGTACCTGTGAACTACCAGTTGTTCGAAAATAAAAGAATTGTTGACTTCTAAGATGCAATCACACCAACTTTGGGTACCTTTAAACGCGGAGAAGCTTTATGCGCAGCTGTTATAGACCATCTGCCACGTCCCTGCTACGAAGGAATTATTTCTGCAAGAAAACCAACAAAAGTTGAATTAAAGGTTGCTACTTAATCCTCATGACTCAAGATAAGCAAGCCACGCAACAAGTGAAATCAACCAAATCAGGAAATTAAACTGGTTCGGACTCGAGAATTGGATCAAAAGGAGGGTATTCAAATGCAAAGGCATAGGCTATTACTTCATGTGACTGTTATTCAAAACCAAGGAATTGATGCATCTGTCTATAGCATAAAACAGAAACCCCATCATATCTATAGCTCATGTCACAATTGCCTAATTCAAATCCTGTAATGTGTAAGGAGCAGAAGTACCACCTAGTCCTTTCGTATCAAAGGGGAACTACAAATACTATAATTCCACTCCCGTAAGGATATGTAGGCATAAGATGCGATATCTTATCGAGTATACTTAGAAATAAACCCCTAGGTCCTTCAACCATTAAGCAGATAAACACGTAGCAATGAACAATATAAAACAAGAGGTTCCTGTAGAGTACTACAGAAACTTAGGATGCTATCACCTTTCCTAAGTTTAACCAACCCCCGAACCTAAAACTCTCTAGCTTGCATTTGCATTGCATTGTTGGAATTTCGATCTTTATCCCTTCCTTTGGACAAAAAAATTTCGGTTGCAAATTAATAAGATTCAAACTAATCAATAGTTTGGTATCCAAATTTCACCGTGACAGTATACATCAATTGAATAACCCAGTTTACAGCTTTAGCAGCAGGACGACACAGATCAAAACTAAACAACAATAATTTGAACGAGTATTAAACATAAAATGACAATATATAGCTAAATAAATATTATAAATTAAACATACCCAAATCCCTCAGGCCTAATCAGATGTCGTCCTTCAACCACCAAATGCTCCTCTGCAATAGGATTTGTCTGCTCCTCATGAACATCGTCACCCCCCTGAACAGTGTGGTCATCCTGCTGCTGACGCGCATGTATATGTGAGGGGTGTGGAATGTGGGAGCCAGATCCCTCTGACTGGTGCGTGGAGGGTGTCGGCTGAGGAAAACTAGATCCTGAAGGTTGTGGTGTGAAGGAATACTGCTGAGGAAAAACAGATCCCCTAGGCTGTGCGAAGTGTCTGCTGAGGAAAACTAGATCCCCCAGGCTGTGGCATGAAGGAATACTGCTGAGGAAGAAAACTAGCTCCCCCAGGAAAACTAGATCCCCTAGACTGCTGCGTAAACGTAGATGGTACCCCAAGCGGATGCATGAAGGATCCCCCAAACGGACTAATAAACGATGGATTCCCAGATGGAACCGTTTGGGAGGAGGTCTGGGAGGAGGAGAGTAATGTCGTAAATGGATGTGAAGTGTCTACGGACATTAGATCTACCTGAGACCGTGGGCGAGAAGCATACATGGGCGAGGACGGTACCTCACGTACTCTGGCTCTCGAACGAGGCTGGGTCTCCTAAGCCTTACCCTTGTCAGTTCGGGGTGGCATTGTATCTATTTTGAAATAGTTATCAATAAATAAATAATACGTAAATAAATCAAGACTATTCATGCTCTTCGTAAATAAATAATACGTAAATAATACATTTGCATTCATATAAAACAAATAATACATTAATAAAAATTGTCCGAACACATATAAAACTATCTATTCAAACTCTTCATGCTCTCCGACCATATTATTTTCATCATCTGATCCAATAATGTCCTCAGATCCAATATCTTCATGCTCTTTGTCCACATTATTATCTACCAACAAAACAGATGCATCAATTTGATGACCCTCGACCAATGTATCACACAAATTCGTAATTTCTTCAACTTCAACCACATCATTAATTTGAGAAATTTCATGGTCTTGGTAAGCAGCATCTTCCACTAGATCGTCAGTTTCAATATGACCCAATGGTTTTGTTTTGATTACAACACACCATCCACGTTTACGTGACTGAATTGAAGGGTACGGAACATAATAAACTTGTTTAACGATATGTGACATTATGAAAGGGTCATAACCATCCGGCATTCTCAATTCATTTAACCATCGACAAACCGCTTTAACATCTTGGGAAGTTAGACTGTAACATGCCTTAGGTTTTAATAATTTTCCATTAGGATGAGGCTTCAACTCCAACTCTTTTCTATCACACAAAATTTCCACGTCCCTTCTAGCCTTCTCATTATCCTTTGTTTTGCCTTGAACATCCATCACTGTATTAAATATATTATCGAAGAAATTCTTTTCAATATGCATAACATCAAGATTATGTCGTAAGAAATTATCGTTCCAATATGGGAGGTCCCAAAATATACTTCTTTTTGTCCAATTGTGTTTGACCCCATATCCTTCAATTCTGCATGCTTCACCGTAATCTGTAAATTTTGGCAGTTCAGAAACTCGATTCCATATTTCCTCTGGTGACAATCGCGGAGGAGGCAAATCTTTTACTCGTACATCTTTTTTGAAATCAGTCTTGTTTCTTCTAAATACACGGTCTCGTGGTAGGAATCTGCGGTGAGAGTCAAACCACAAACTTTTCCCTCCAAATTCCAAAGTAAAAGCCTTTGTAAATTCCATGCAATGTGGACATCCCATTTTGCCATGCGTACCCCAACCAGATAACATTCCATAAGCGGGAAAGCCATTAATAGTCCACATCAAGGCAGCTTGCAAAGTAAAGTTTTGTTTGCGAGATATATCATAGGTCCATTCTCCAATCTACAACCTCTTCAAATCATCTATTAAAGGTTGCAAATAAACGTCGATTCCAGATTTAGGACTTGACGGTCCTGGAATGAGGCAAGTCAAAAACATGTATGGTTTTGTCATGCACATCTCTGGAGGGAAGTTGTAAGGGGTTACGATGACTAGCCAACATGAATATGCAATTGCAGATGCTTGGACGTATGGAGTAAAACCATCAGAGCATAGTCCGAACCTGACATTTCTAGGTTCTCCAGCAAAATCAAAATGTACCCTATCAAAATGTTTCCATGCCTCACCGTCAGATGGATGCCACATAATGCCTGAACATGTTTTGTTTGTATGATGCCATGTCATTTGACTTGCACTATGCATTGAAGCAAACAATCTTTTTAACCTTGGTATTATCGGCAAATAAAACATGGACTTCACTGCTACACGTTTTTGTTTACGGTTAATGGTTTTACTACGAACTTGATATCTCAGACTACTACATAACTTACATTCCTCCAGCGCCTCATCATTAATACCAAACTCATTGTCATAAAACAACATACATCCATTTATGCAACAATCAATCTTTCGTACTTTTAAACCCAACTTCGACACCAACCTCTTTGCATCATAATAACTTGTAGGCAAGTTGTCTTTCGTAGGAGTCGCATCCAACATCATTTTTGCAAAGTATTCCAAACACTAATCAGGAACATTTCAATTTGACTTTGCGGCCAATAATCTCACACACATTGATAATTTTGAATCTGCTGACCCCTCAAACAACGGTGTATTCATTTCTATCAACAATTGGTAAAATCTTTGTGCTTCCTCATTCGGCAACTCTTCCCCATCAAAATCCTGAGGTTCATCGTATGTCACGTTTACTCCAAATGCATTTCCAACCATTACATCGATCAAATTAAATTGTTCATCAAATTCCATATGTGATCGACTGCTTGATGCGTGTGTATTAGTTGTCTCTGCATGTACGTTACTCGGCAGTTGTTCTCCATTATATGTCCAAATCCAATAATTTTTAATGAAACCCTTCCTCTTCAAATGGCGTTCTACTTCCTCTGGATCACTAATTATAGGTCTACATTCACATTTAAGACAGGGACATCTCACTCCTCCTTCACGTCGACAACATTCTTGTGCAAATGTCCACGTGATAAACCCCTTAACTCCTTTCTCAAAATTTGGTGTAAGTCCACGTCTGCCTGGTAACGTTCTATCGTACATCCAACTACGTTAGTAACGAAAATATTCCATACTGCAGATTTGTACTATCATTATATATCATTTTAATAAAATATGTAATTTAAATCTTTTTTTTTTCTATTTCGACACCAACCTAATAAAATATGTTCACTAAAATAATATAAATTATGTTTACTAAAATATACAACATATTCTCAAAATATAATATTCTAAAATATAATATATAATTTGTTTATTAATAATAACATATTTAACATATAATATATATTCATTAAGTTTAAAAATCTGTTTTTCTAAAATAATATATATTATGTTTACTAAAATATAATAACTATTCAATAATATAATATTCTATAATATATATAATTGGTTTACTAAAAATAACACATTTAAAATATATATAATAAATATTCATTATTTTTTAATAAACATATTTTTTGAAAAAATAATACATTTAAAAATAACACATTTTAAATATAATACATATTCTTTATGTTTTGTAAAAAATATCTTTTAATTTTTTCTATTTACAATATTGTTTACTAAAAATATTTTTAAAAATTCTACTTTTTCTAACATAATAAATATTCTGTTTTTAAAAATTAAAAATATATTACATATTTAATTTGTTTGTAATAAATATTCTATTTATATATATTATTATGTTTTTAATTCAAAATATATATATATTCTAAAGATATATATTCTAAAATTTTATAATATATCAACAACAACACAACACAATAATATATCAACAAAAAATCTAAAATTTTCTTCTAAAATAATATTTCATATATATATATAAATATATATATATATATATATATATATATATATATATATATATATATATATATATATATATATATATATATATATAAATATATATATATATATATATATATATATATATATATATATATATATATATATATATATATATATATATATATATATATATATATATATATATATATATATATATATATATATATATATATATATATATCACCAAAATCTAAAAAATAAACAAATTAAAATGCATAAATACCTCAATGTGCTAACTCTATCAAAACTTCCAATTGAACTTCTTAAATCTTAGATCTGGAAAAAAAAATCAACAAACAATTAATAATAAGATAAACATAAAATAAACCGTAAAACATTCACAAAAACAACATATATACCAATCACCTTAAGTTTTTTGTGAAATTTTTGTTGAAAATGGAGTTGTGAGGGAGACAGTAGTAATGGAAGAATGAATAGAAGGAAGAAAGCATGAAGAATGAAGAAGATGAAACGAGATAGTGCTGAAGGAAAGTCTGGCGAAATATTATATATGGGCTTTTGCGACGTGGTGAACACGTGGGAAGGTACCCACGTGATCCCCGCGTCGGAACAATAAAGCATCTTAAGCATTTGCGACGTGCATATTCTGTGGGAACATTGCCACATGCAAGCCACGTCGGAACATTCCCCAATATAAAATATATTCGTTGCTCCCACATAATAATAACGCAATGGTAAAAATGCAATTATGGTTGTGGGTTGCGACGTGTGAATTCCTTCACAAACTTGTCACTTTCAATTCCAAGACGCAATGTGTCTGAAAAGTTAATAGAAAAGAAGAGACATTTTTTATTTGCAGATTTGCGACGTGCATTACATGTGGGTAATTTGTGACATGTTCTCACGTGTTTTACACGTCACAACTGAATTTTTTAAAAATTCAAATTTCCCTCCCTCTTAAAATTCCAATTTTTGGTTGAAGATTTTAGGTCTAGATAATTTATTATTTAAATAATTTAGTGACGTGGCAATCACTTGGCAACGTGTTTTTTTACCACGTGATTAACACGTCACTAAATCACTACCAAAATGGGCATTTTCTTGTAGTGTCTGAAACTTAAGAATAGTAAGTAGAAAACCCTATTGTCAAGCGACACTTTCTGTTTTCTTTATGCTTCTATTTCCTTCTTCATAATCTCACTCTCCACCGCTTACACACAGCACTTTCTTGCTTCTCTAAAACCCTTGCATTGCATGATCATGGTGAAATCTTGTTCACCTCCTTCGTTTCATAAACACAGAAACAACAACAAGGATAAACAACAACGGTCTTTTGAATATGATGAGAAACCACATGTTTACAAATGTGAGTTTTGTGACAAAGTATTCACCACAGGCCAAGCACTTGGGGGTCACAAGACTGTTCATCGCTCCAAGAAACAACAAATACATGATGATGATGATAAGTGTCACAAAACTATCAAGATCACTTTCGTTTTATCTTCTTCTCCAAGTTATGGTAATAATCATGATGTCAAACAGAAAAGACATTCATGGACTAGGGTTTTCAAGAGTACCGTTCATCATCCATCTACTGCATCGGAACCTTGTGAACAACAAGAGTTACCGGCTGTTGACTTGTTAAGTCTGATGCCACCAAGATCTTACAATACCAAGAAAAGGAGCATGAGATATCTTATTCCTTATGGACTTTCTAATAATACTCCTCCAATACCATTGTTGGATATGTCTCGCGAATCGGTTGTGAATCTTGATGCGAACCATTCTGAGTATAAGAGGATGAAACTTTCAAGCAATGGGAATGATAATGTGCTGCTAACAAGTGTCTGTAATGATGAAACAGTGGCGTCAAGAGCTGTTCTAAACGAGCGCCCGACTAATTATGTTGAAACAGAAGTGGGGCCAAGAGTTGTTCGGAACTTTGATTTGAATGAGCTCCCAAGTAATGATGTTGCTGATTAAATCATTCACCATGAATGATATGCTTCTCTTTACGTTGAAAGAGAATGAGTGGTATTACGATTGTTATTTTTTTATGTATATGTTGAAAGAGAATGAATTGTATTCTACTGTCATGTAATGTGATGCATGATAAGATATATAAGTTTTAGATTTGATATGATTATAAGTTTTCACCTCTTGATTGTATAAAACTATAAACAGATTATTTACTACCTTGTGCTATTCTTAATTGTGTGATTATTTGTGGGAATCTCTTTCCTTTGATTATTGAAAGAGATTTAAGTTGAGTGGTTTTGATGAGTAATAGTTAATTATAATTTTAAAATCAATTGCCTCCGATGATACAGTCTAATTAGGTATATGAATTGCAGGTAGCATTAGATGGTGCTATAGTTACATGATGTGAAGACATTCCTTTTATATATATATATATGATTGTTTTGTAAGTTTAAATATTCAACTCGCCAATCCTTCCATGACAAAGCCAAAACAAAGTTAGCATTCTCTCAAATAATTGATTGTGTCATGTTCTCATATAAAGCTTATGCTGAAAGAGCATCATCAAATTTTGCAGATTTACTGAGCTGGGAACGTTGTGAGTTTCCACTGATTTGCAACGATAAGACTTAACAATATTTATTAGTTACATTCTTTGTGACGGTCACGACATTGTTGTTAATTAAGGCCTTGCATTGGTTGGCTCAGAAGAGAGTCGAGTATTCTGAGACCACCATTCCTAGGGTGACCATGAGTCTCATTTGAGAGCTCACACCAGAAATTTGTGACTAATTTGGTTGTCCAAAGTCCTGCTTCAAGTCATAGGTATAAAGTTTTGAATATGTTTGGTAATAATTCAATATGACCATCAACATGTCAATAACAGCGGATATGAGACATTTGGGCAAATTAAGATTTTGAAAACTTCATGGTAAAAACATGCTTTCGAAAAAAGGTTTGTGAATTATGACCATAATATTCAATTCGCACAAACAAGGTTTATCGATGTTTATGTGCCACAATGAAACCATAGTTGATGCCACGTCAAACTCCATTTCACTTTGATTCATCAAAAAAATCAACTATTGATGCATGCCACGATTTAACACCTCGTTGTTGATTCATGCCTCTAGGTTGGAAGATTAAATTTTCCAAATGAGAAGACGTAGGATGGAAAAGTTTCGTTTCCATTACATTCGAGCTGTTTCGAGTGTTTAAATCTCTTCAAGATCAAATGAGAGATCATCTCTTCGTTTTCATCTTCAAGATCATCGATTCTTCTGAGTGGGTTTATTGGTCTCTGATTCTTCTTCTGCTTTTTTTCAACCTCAAACTATCTCTGATTCTTCTTCTGCTTTTTTTCAATGTAGTGAGTTTCAGTCTTGGCCTTTACCTGTTGAAGGAAGTTTAGAAGATAGAGCTGCAAGTGCTTCCAAGAGTCATAGTCAAGCAGAGAAAAGACGCAGGGATAGAATCAATTTGTTCGTGTTATTTTCCATTTTAAGGTTAGATTTTGTTATGTTTTTCATGCAAGAAAATGGAATTAGCCACTTAAGGAAAAGCTATGTGATTATGATGTTTTACATTCAACTCATGAATTTCTAATTCCAACCCTAATTGAGATTTAACACAATCCTCGCTCTCAACTGAATTGAACTTTTTGATTCATCCCCTGCTTTTGTCTGTGT